GTTTGGGCCTCAGAGGCTGCTGTGGGAGCTCTCTGGTGCCGCTTTCTGCCTCAGGCTACCCAGTGGCTCCTGCATTGATGCGGCAGCTGCTTGCCCAGTACCCCTCCCATCTCCATCAGTTTTTGAGGGAGGCAGGATGAGAGCAGGAGGCAAAAACTGTGTCCTCAGAGCCAGTCCTTTTCAAAGTGAGTAAACACTCTCACTCTCTTTTTAGATGGCTCAACTTTGGCCAAAGGTCTTGCTTTCCACCCATCACGCAAAGGTTGTCATGTAATATGGCTATTTTGGTGGTTCGTTTTAGGATGCTGACATGCTTTATGAATAGGAATTAACCGTAGTTTATTTTAATGTTTAATGAGGGCAAATTCCTATCACAATATCTGCAAGCCAGAATCAAACTTAGTAATTCAGACTATGTTATTTAGCAATTGTTATTTTATCTGATTGATGACACTGAAGGGTATTTTGGATTTCCTTCATTAGGACGAAAGGTTCTGTATTGACACTTTGTTAATATTTATGTTTATTTAATTTTAATGAATTGAATAAATAAAGTCTGAAAGGATTAATATTAATCAGATAAAGTTTTCTTGAACAAATTGCTATTTCTAATAGTTTTACTATTGTCCTTTTTTTTTTTTTGCTTCTATTCTTGTAGGTATTTGAAGATGCTACAGATCCTATTATTGTTGTAGAACTGCTAGAAAGTAAGTCTCTCAAAATATATTCCTTCTCTTACATGTAAAACAGATTGCTTTCAGAATGGTCAGTGACCAGAATTATATAAGTTTCTTTTTAAAAAGTTAAATATATTAAAACATTATAAAAATAATGAGATATTAGGAGAGATCTAGAAGATGCAAAATTAATTTGCTGAATTACAAGAGCTATCAGGCCAGTTACTACACAATTAGTAAAACAACAGAGGTGAGGAGATCCCAACATTCTAATTCAATGGTTCTTAAATGTACTTAGGGGATTACTCTAGATATACAAACCTGAATAAATGAGTAAACATGTATTTGCTATCAGTATTATTTAACATAAAAGGATAGTTTTGAAATTCTGCTCTGCAAAGACTCTCTGGTCATTTATTCACATCTGTTTTTCAGTAATTGTGTAGTGATTGGCCTGATAGCTCTTGCAGTGTCACAACACATATACAAAAGGGGCAGAAGGTGCATTGTGATGGTGCAATGCTTGTTTCATCATTCCCCGCCCCCTCCCCTGACACCTTGGAAATAGCCAGTCAGTTCTAACTCTGTTCTCAACTCATGGGTTGAGAGAATATGTAAGCCAGTTCACCAAACTGGACCTGATTGAAGGTGCTATAGGCATTATCACAAGATATAGCCAGAGATATAGCCAATGATCTGGTTCAGACATCATGAAAAATCATTTTCCTATTGTGTGCCAAAGCTTAGGTCTTATGAAGTCTTTCCCTTTTTTCTCTTCTTGTGTGGCAATACACAGGATCAAAAGCAGACTTTTTAACGTTTAAATTAAGCAGTTCCCAATGCCATTTGAGCTTGGACGATGGATTTGATTAAATTATTAATAATGAGATCACACAAAGATCAAACCATAGTTTCAGGACCTGGTTGCATAATGAAATCACAGTTGGAAATATAGTTTTAAAAAAAATAGAATGTAAAGAAAAAAAAATTGCTATGTGCTGTTTTTTTGTATTTCCTTCTTGTTTGTGATGTTCAGGGACAAGTATGAAGACCATGTATGGTTTATGAATATTTCAAGAAAGGCCTTTTATTCCCCTCCCATAACAGATTAGAATGCTAATAGATGGAAGAAGTCTTATTTGGATATCTTGAGTGTGTTTTCAGTATTTATCATTCATTAAAGTGAACTAAAATGAAAGGGAGACCCTTGAAGACTAACAGATGGGGAACACCATATGAAGATCTAAGAATATGTGTCTCTTAGGGTCTAGAGACTTCAGCACTTTTGCACAGAACTGTTATATTTGCTTCGCTATCATGAATAACATGTTTGATCTGTCATTTTCAGAAAACATGACAAAGTTTCGATTATCTGAACTGATACCTTCAGGTAAATGAAAAATATTTTTTCAACTTCATATATCCTGCAGTGGAAGAATTACTATTTAAAGAGATGTTGAAGTGAGCTTTTTGATCTCTGGTGTTGCCATATTTATCACTAGTATTAGTTATGAACGAGATGATCTTGGATGGAAGTTATACATGCTGAGGTTTCCCAGTATGAAACTTATATATGAAAAGTATTATTTCCACAGAAATCTGTGAAGCTCATACTTTCTTCTTCATTAAAGCTTCTTTTTTAATCTAACAGTTTGGTGCATGTTTCAGAGACAAATGTCAACTCTTCAGCCACAGTGCTTATTTTTCTAGGATGCCCCTAGCATAGTTGGAAAATGATAGTGACTGGAGACCTGTGATTGGTATTGAAATCCATTCTGGATCTCTCTTAAAACTAAAAGACAGAACAGGAACAGCCAACTTTGCCTGGGAACCTGGGACCAACAAAAATGATGGTTACTGGGGCAACTGTGACAGTTTTAGAGTGGGGGACATAATCACGGGGATGCAAAGGTTTTAAGGCTATGGAAGGGAAATACTGAAATGGTTGTTAAGGGAGGGGTAGAATCCTGAGAAAATTGGAGAAGAAAGCATGGTAGAAGGATGGTGAATTGTTTCTGTGTGGGAACAAATATTCTGAGTGCATTTCTGTGAGTTTGCTGTGTGTAGTATGTAGTATTTGTATCTTTATTTTGTAGGGTCTGTTTGGAAAATTGATTTAGGAGTGATCTTCCTATTAATGAAGATACTAAGAATTGCTTTGGGTTTGAGAACTCAGACATCTACATTGGCTTTATATTGAGATTTTGCTTACTATGAAATTAGTGTTTTGTGACTGGCCATCTCTACCCTACCACAACACCCATTTAGGGAATAGGCATTACCTTCCAGCCATTAAATGTTCTCAAAATTTCTAATGTATTCATTGGTCCCCAGAATTGGAGATCATCCTGGGCAAAATAAGTTCCCAGATAGTGCAATAATTTAAAGTTCAGGGAAGCAGCTATGCTTTCTCTGTGTTATACCTTTCTTGGAAGTGAACACAGGGTGGCAGAATAGGCCTTCTGAGCAAAGACTTAGTCCTCTTAGTCTTCCTGTCTGCTTCTCTACCTCTTTTCATTTGGTTCTACCCATACTGTCATATCCTTCCTTCTACCACTTTAACAAAAACATTATTTCTAACTGTAATGTTCCTATCTAATTATATTTTCAAAATTTCTTTATATGCCCTCATGAAATTAAACACCATCTTTACAGAAGTAACTCAGCCAAAGTTCTACTGTATGGCACAGTAGGAAAGGTTAACCTTTCCTAGCAATGTTGAGATTGCTAACAGCCAAAAGTAGTTGAGCTGATCTTTTCTGGCCCTGAAATCTCCAGTCTTGATGACTGGGTTTTGAATGTCAGGGCCTACTACATGTTATGGATCAAGCAGGAAAATATCCTTTTGGGGGATCATTCTCCATCATCCTGATCCCACATCAGCAGTAGATAAGCTGTGGCTTCACAATTGCCTATGATTCTACCTCAGAATTTGTCTCTGATGTTTCCATAAATGAGTGTCAATGGATTTTTGATATCTTTCATTCTTTCTGCTATCTCTTTGCTGGATATATCTCTACTGGCCCGTTTGCTCATAAGGCAGAAAGACACTTAATATGTTATAATATTGACTGTGTCTTACTTTCTGCTCAGCTAAAATCCAGGTTCTTTGTTATGGCCCTCTGATGTTTGCAAGATCTTAGTTCACCAGCCCATTAGTCCTTGAGTCAGACTCTGATCTAAGCCCTGTGAAAGCATGTAAAATGTTCAAAGAAGACTTGGTATAGATTAGCTGCAGCTTTCTTGGCTTTCTTTGTTATTGTTATCCTAATCCTATCTTAATGTGCTTTTTCATTGCTGTGGGAATAAGCAGGTGAAGTAGTTTGAAAATGTGATTCCCACTATGTCTGGAAAGCATTAAATTCCTCAGATATATGTAAATTGTGGCTTATTATTCAAGACTGTTACATCAGCTATTACACAGTGGGTGAAACAACTCTTACGATTACTTGTGACCTGGTATTTGACACAGGTCTTTCTCCCCAAAATTAGAAAAATAATCTACAATTAGACTAACTGTCTAATTGTAGTCTAATAGACTAATTCAGTGATTTGCAAATACCAAGTGTTCCATGTTTTCATCTGGGCATTTGTGTCAGGCTAAGATTCATATTCTTGTGTGCTCCACAAGCAGCTATCAACACCTTTGTGGAAGGTGTGCATTCTTTTAATTATGTCCAACTGCAAGACCTCAAGAATAATAGCCTCATTGCCCCTGAACAAGATCCCATCTTGGACACTAAGCTCATACATAGTCTGGCCATTTATCCAATGTCTGGCCCTCTGTAAAGCTTTATCTTCATCTATGGTCTTTCATATTGGCATTGCCTGTCAACAGTGCAACAGGAAGGAGAACGCCGTCCGCCATTTTTAATAATAGGCAGCCTATTTTTAAGTACAAGTTCTGGCTTATATACAAATTCGAGTTAAAGACAGACTTAGGAATGGAACTCGTTCTTAACCCATGGACTTTTGTTGTTGTTTAGTCGTTAAGTCGTGTCCGACTCTTCGTGACCCCTTGAACCATATTGCGCCAGGCCTTCCTGTCCTTCACTGCCTCCCT